TGGACAGCTAATTAAAATTACACAATAGCACTAGGAGTTTCTCCCTGTGAAAATATACCTAGAGAAGGCAAAGGCACCGAAAAAGCAGCCCATTTTCAGCTAGTAAAAAGATTTGCTATGACTTTGCAAACTGGTATTTAACAACTTTATTGTAGCCCATTAGCATCATGAGCAGAGTCAGGCTATTGCAGGGGAATTCCCAGCCAACAACAGTTTCTACATTCAGATTAAGTATGTTTTCCAGTTTCTGCCCTCCTGATTTTCCAAAAATACAAACGAAAAACTGCATCTACAGAAACACTCTGGCAACTTAGCAGGATTCTGTGCAAAGAAGTCCCTTGAACTGAGGGAATTAGATCCATCTATACTAAAACCAGTTCCAACTCCCCTCCTACTACCAGCTCAAAAACTGGCTTGCACTACTTGGAAGGTTTTGTTAAGTTCAAACTAAAAGTTCTTTCCAGATGAAACCTAGTTATCAACTCAGGAAAATTAAAAATCCATAGCAAACAGTACTGGTCCCTCTGTTTAACCTTCAAGGATTTTTAGCATTTGCTTATATTTATTTCTAATTTTGCAGAAAACAGAGGCCACATTCAGTTATTGCTCTCCTATGGTAGAGAACAGCACAGACCCACAAGTACCGTTAGTCTCACCATCTGAGCTTTTTCCTCAACATGGTGTCATATCTTTTTATCCTTGTTTGATTCTGTAACTGCACTGTGTATACAAAGAATGAGGAAGAACAGGGGAGGATCTACAGCTTTTCCTCTTGATTATTTGCTCTGGTGCCAGACATACTGAGCTTGGCTATCTTTTTCAAAACTCTCATTCCCACGAGTCATTTCACACTTGGTGATCAGCTCTGGTGCTGTGCTAGGACTGAAATGGTGCTCAAACTCTGCCAGAGGAGCAGAAACACAAGGCTATAACCATGAACCTCTTCATATCTAAAATTTTATTTTGACAAAGTTGAATTAGCATAAACAAGAAGTAGTTGTAGTGCAGGAAGAGAACAATGTCAATCAGAGCTGAATCTAAACAAAACCATAAAGTACTCCTGCTCAATTCAATACTGGAAGACACATTGCTTACTTAGGTTCAAACTGATGAAACAATCTATAAAGTTTCATCCTTGTACTCCTACTCAAACATGCTTCCTGAAGTTAATTGCATTTACCCTGGATATTGTAATCTGAGCCACTAAGCAATGTCTTCCCCGCTTATTATCAGCAAAGAAAGATGGGTAGCTACAGGGCACAACCCATTTCATTTAGATTAGAAATCTAGATTCAATTAACTGGGCTGCAGGCCACAACTCCCATCCACTGAGACAAGGCACTAAAGGGACCATAGCATGAATAGCTCAGATACAGCCAGCAATATAAAAGAAGATTCTCTCACTAAACTTATATTTAAACATGCTGGGAAATTATAAGGAAGGCAGCAAGCAGCAGTATAAACAGAAAATTACCTCAAAAGTGGACCCCACCACACATGTGCTGACAGACACAACTTCTCAAGATGGTCTGTACTGCCTTCAGAGATATGCAGATGACTTAAAACCTGAATTTTTAATTTGTCATCTTGTTTAATTTTACCACGACAGTGTGTACAGTCTATATCCACAAACAAATATAATTGGCTCGTGCAGTCATTGCTTCATGAAAATGGCAGTGAGCAAGCATGAAATGGGACAGAAAATTATGGAGAACATAAATCAAGACAAAACTGAAAAACATTTATTCTTAAGAAGTGACTCCAAGGTAAGAGCACCGCATTAAATGTTTTCTCCTCCTTTAAGACCAGCTATTTATGGTCGACAAGCGATTTATAAATAGGCAGGGCTTGAAAGGCCGAGTACAATTGCCTATTCAACAGCTTCTGATGAACAAAAGCGCAGAGAGTTGTTTCTATTGCAAGCACTACCTACCTGTCCAACCTGTTGTCAGAAGGTCTGTACATGTTTTCATCAAAAACGGATGAATCGGATTCAGTCTTTCTCCGCTTTCCATCCGCGCCACGTTTCCTTCCCTGGGACCAGCGAGGCGGAGGCTGTGGGCTGGCAGCAGACAAGCCAAGACAACGTGAGCACGCTAAGCGGTTTTACTTTATTAACCTCTTCGAAAAGGCATACGGACAGCGTGGGTTATTCGCTAATTTTACTTCGACTAATCAAGCTGAGCGACACCAACGGCCGCGGGCTCTGGGAGCCCCTCAGCGGGAGGCGCCCCCACGCAGGGCAACGCCGCTATTAACGGACAGCGGCGGGCACGGGAGCCCCGGGCGCTGTCACCCCT